TACAAAATATTTATGATGTTTTTGTCAGATTTTATTATTTAACAAAAATGATCTGTTTTTGAAATATTGATGTGGCTTTTAGTTTTATAGGTCTCTCCTAGAGATTGAAATCTGGTCTTGACTGAAAACAGCTGCCCAGAGGTGTTGCAAAGACTTTCCTATAAGAACTTTGGTAAGTCACAGTTATCGCATGCAGTAACAAAGGCATAGTTTCATTTGTTGTAGGAAGGCTGAACGCTACCAAAAATCAAACAGGTCTTTACCAAAATGCATATAGACCAAGACAGCAACTACAAAAGTATAAAGTTTTTCACAACCCCCGAAAATAGAATGAAACACTTGCTTTATAAAGGAAAAGTCTACACTGGGACTTTCCAATTAGATCAAGATAAATTGCCTGGAAAACAGGAGCTACTAGGGGAAGATTGGTTTACATTTAACACTAATGTTCCATAAATTACTGGAAAGCCCTGGTGCATGCCAGATAAGGCTTGAACCCTCACAGTCACAGCTCTATAACATAACAATCTCATTAAAACAGTGGCATGCTCCAAATATTCTACAAAACTGGCCAATCAGACATAGATGAACCCAAGGCTTGTTGCCACAGTGATAGCCACCTCTTCACTCCCTCTTGACACTGTTTTGTCTGCTAGCATACACCAGAATCAGCACTGCTCTCCCACATGCTTAATTTGGAAAACTTCACCAATCTTATAGCCGTCCTAATCCAAACTCTGAGAGGTAATACCCCAGAAAATTGCTTCATGCCACTTTTGGTAGCATCTCCTTAACAAACTATAGCTGAATTCTGCCATGTTGGCAACATTGTTTCTTTTTATCACAAGAGAATGGTGGAGCAGATAAAATGGTCTCATTTTATTTAGTCACAAATAACTTTGTAGTTACATATTAACTATACATGTAACAACAATATAATCACGGGTGATGTATTCACTGTTACAGATGGACTACGGAAGTGCTGCGTATGCAAATACACATATACATCAGTTTCTTTTTTTACTCATGTAGTTCCAAAAGTACGGAGCCCTGCTGATGACATCCCATATAAATAAAAATAATGAGTGGCCACGCCTTATTAACGCGTGAAAGTGAGATCCTATGCATGGTCACGACTTAATAACACATATATTTTAAATAAGTCCATAAATGTTTTAAAGATATGTGATGTTGGTGTGTAAATACTGTCACATTACAGGATGATTTAAAGCCAGACATTTGGTTAGGTTCAAGCGTGCTACTACTGCCAGCTAAATGTTAGGAAAGTTAGCATTTCCCATGCAGATGCTGTGTGGATATATATATATATATATATATATATATATATATATATATATATATCTTCATCTCCAAACACCCCGAGTTATGTTGTTGTGGTGTTGTTCTCCAGCATCACTGCTGTGTCTGATCCACTCGTGCCAGCGCAACACACACTAACACGCCACCACCACTGTCACTGCAGTGCTAAGAATGATCCACCAGCCAAATAATACCTGCTCTGTGGTGGTCCTGTGGGGGTCCTCCCCATTGACAAACAGGATGATAGGGTGTACAGAGAAAAAGATGGATTACAGTCTGTACCTGGAGGACTATAAGGTGCACCTATATGGTATGTAATATATACATATAAGGTGTTGCCTTTTTATTTGATTAAATATTAATGCCCAAAGATTATAAATTTGGATTTTCTGCTTTATTAACTTTAAACATGAACATTTGTTGTCATACCTTGTTTTTGGCAGACAGGGTTGCCAGGTCCAACAAAAATCTCCAACCCAAAGTTTGTTTAAAAGCCACCCGTTAGACATGAAAATTGTATAGTTTTGTCCCACAGATTCAATTTTCAAGCTAGCCCAATTTGGCAGGAGAACCACCAGCCTGGCAACTCTGATGGTGGATGCATGAGTTGTACAAACACTATGACCAAAACTGAAGACCCTGAATGCACTGCATATGTGAAAAATGGAATGAACATGACTAAATACTTCACTGGCCCGTCACCATGTCTAGTTAGTCTGCAGAACTAGACCCTCAGCTGTTAATCTGTAACTGAACTCCCTCACCGTCATGTGCCCCTCCGCCCACTTCTGCTGATACACCGTACACCATAGCAAGGACACCATCAGTGTGTGTGTGTGTGTGTTGGAGGGTGTTTCTCACAGGCTCCCAGTGTGCTGAGCTCTGAGGTAAACATGAGCCTGGCCGAAATAGCCCCCTGCTCTGCCCTCGCAAACACGAACACACTGGCGCACAAGTGCTGATAAACACACACACTCAAACAGATATAGTACATATGAGGCGGGTGTTGCGCATGAGCAGAGGAAGCTGGTGTCAGGGAGGGCATCATTTATCAGTAAGCATTCAAGAGCGCGAGGGAGAGGGAATTTATGGCAGTGTGGGAGAGCTCGTCTCTGTCCTCTATCTGTGTGTTTTTATATGTGCATTAATCTGCATGTATTAATCAATGACTGATAGTCACTGTTACAGTTTGTCGCTGTTCTGTGCTCCGTATCGGCTTTTTTCCTCACTGTTCTGCTCTTATCTGCTTGTACATGTGGTTGCATATGAAGTAAGTGTCCCGCCCGCTTGAAACGGTGCAGGATTTTTGGTAGCCCCTCCGTGGCTGAGAGTCTGACTGAGATTCATGCTAAAAGAGCCCCATTGTTCACAGTTAGAGAGAGAGAACCTGGGCTGCTGCCTAAAACCACATGGAAACACACACACACACACACACACACACACAAGTGCCAGCCTTATGTGCCTCACATTACTTAACTGACCACCACTACCTCGTGTTGGTAGCGAGAGAGGGAGGGCGGCAATGAAAGACTTGGTTATGACGTTGCCATTGACAATCAGTCTAATAACTGCTAGTCTTGCTTAGTATTTGTATAAACATTGCATTAGTGTCTGCAAACATCCTCAAGTTAACTTAAAATGTGTAAACTTTTTTGATGCTACTTTAAAAGATCATATTTGCAGCAACGACACACCAAATATAAATACTTCAAAGTAACCCACACTTTTATTGTATACTAGCTCAACAGTGCAGTGATTTCACAAAAAAACACACACAGTCAAATTAAAATTTGATGAATATGTAAATATTACAAAGCTGTGCATTTAATGCATTATTACCAATACTTCCTCAAAGTTATCCACATTTAGTTCAACAATTTTAAATACTTCTTAGAATTATCCCTTTATCCTTCATCTTTGGTCTTGAAATGGAGTTTTAGAATAGCTCCCCCCTTCCAATCTAATGCTATATAAATTCCTATATCTACCTTATGTTTCCCAAAATGAAGTTTTCACCATCCCCCACCACCACCCTTCTCCCTCCTGTTAATCAGTGTTATCTTTCAATCCTACCACTGTACAAAAGTGGGGGCCTTGTAACTCCAAGCAGAAGCCAACTTGTACTTCAGCCCAAGTCCTCAGAGTTCTGTCCATTCCTTCCATCACAGTATCCCCTCATACTACCAACCTAAAAGCGTGGTCTGAACTCACAAACTAGTTTGTATGAGTTGACATTGTTTTTCTCCTCCAGCATAATTCAGTTAATTTCAAAATCAACAAATATTTTTCAGAACAGAGCAGTGATTGTGATTTGGTGCCTAATAATAACCATAAACCTTAGTGTTCCAGTGAAACTGAACATTCCATTTGATGTTTTTTAAATATTTGTTCTGAACATTGACCAAAACATTATGTTTGCTTGTTTGAACGGTTTGAACCAAACATCCTGTTTGCTTGTTTGAACTATTTGAACAGAACATTCAATTTGATTGAACTTTGGTTGTTTAAACTGTGAATAAACAGTCTATTCTTTTGCTCTGGCTTCTATTACTGGTTGTGATCCATTTGCACAACAGTATCTTGGCTAGTTATCTAGTAAGAACAGTGCTGGTGTACAGCAACAAGCACAAAACGATTACACTGCAGCACATCTGAACATTATACACATTGCATGACACCATTTAATTCTTTTTTTAAGGCTTTGTAATTGTAAAATGTACTTTCAGCCTCTTTAAATTGAATTGGAAATCATAACTTCTCATCTCTGTGACTTTTCTCAAGTGAAATACAATATCGGGGAGGGTCTCCGAGCTGAGTGTTTCACTTGATGATGGATGGGGATGGTGGGAGGGAGAGGTGAAACATCATATTATTGGACAATATTATTTTTCCCCACCCACTGGTGCATCATGACATAATCTAGAATCAGTAGTTTTAGAGGTGAGCAAAAGTCATTACACTTTGATGGAAGATTGCGAGAAAACTTTGTCTTTTAAATGAAATAATATAAGGAGTTGTGCTTAATATGATCAGGGACACGAGCTCACAAGAGCAAACTAGAATAGTGCATTTCCTGAAGAAAATGCAGAGTGATTATGCAGTTTAAGGGGTTTTCTGAACGGATGCTAAGGTGTTGCCAGGTGATTGCTATGGTATTTTATATGGTTGCTAGGGTGTTGATAGCTAGTGGAATTCTAGGTGATTGCTGAGGTGTTGCAAGGTGGTTGCTATAGTATCCCAGGTGGTTGCTAGGGTGTTGCTAGAAGGTTTCTATGGTATCCAATGTGGTTGCTAAGGTATTGCTAGGCATTTGGTATGGTATCCCAGGTGGTTGCTAGGCAGTTGGTATGATATTCCAGGTGGTTTCTAAGGTGTTGTTAGGTGGTTGCTATGGTATCTGAGGTGGTTGCTAGGGTGCTGCTAGGCAGTTACTATGGTATCTGAGGTGGTTGCTAGAGTGTTGCTAGGCGGTGGCTATGGTATCCCAGGTGGTTGTTAAGCTGTTGCTAGGCAGTTGCTATGGTATCCCATTCGTTTACTGAATTGTTTCTAGGCAGTTGCCTTGGTGTACAAGGTATTAGCTGACAAGATAAAAAAAAATCAGTTTTAATTTCAGGTTGGCTGTAACAACCCCCCGATGCCCTGTACAATACTGGAGAAATTCACACTGTTCTTTTTTCACTTTTTTATTTAAACAGTATGAACATCCAAAAAGGGAGAAAAACACTGCAATTAAATAAAATGCCTTTTGTTGAAAGCAGACAGTAAAAGACTTGGCATGTGGACTATGAAGCATAAAAAAGTCAAATCAAGCATCGTTGCAGTTGGTTGCAGTGTCTAAAGGCTTTTTATATTAAACATTGTTTATCAGTCAGTGCATGTATTATTGATCTCTTAAAGCAAGCACAGCATAACTCACACACCCCTTAAAAAAATGCAGCAAAAAGAACCACTTCTAGTCCAGTGAACCAGAGGTCAGTACACAAATCTGATGGCCAGACCACATATTGTAGACGGCAGAGAGAGATGGTGTCTACAAGCTTTTTAAGTCTTTAAATATAATCCAAATTTGGGAAACACACAATGAGATGAGATTTACTATTGGTAAGGGAGGCTGTTAACCACACAGTCAATTCAATCTCACATTAAAGAAGCCATTTATAGGAAATATCCGGGCGTCCCAGAGTCAGTGGTGCTAGCCCCTCTGCTAAGGTTCACAGATCCGGATTAAGGCTTTAAATGCCACGGTTAAAGCTACTAGAATGTCAAGTTACACCTACATACGAAACAAACTTTATTCAACAGTCAAAGCCACACTAAGACCAGGCGTAAGACGTCCTAACAGAGTCTGCTTGTGACAGCTTATAACAGCGTACAGTCTCATGTTTAGAATCTGGTAATGAGCTGTCTTTAATGCGTCATGCTACTGCCGGACATTTCAGTTGACCTGTCATGGTGAATGGAAAAGAATGTGCATAGAGCGTCTATGTGCGTGCATGCATGCTAATGATATGCAGAATGCTATAAAAAAATGAAGATCATGGCAGATGAAGATTATGTTTTGTCACTGTTGTAACAAAAACTCAGATCTCAAGAATGGCAACATGTTCTTAACCTGAATGTACATCAATGTAACAAGCTATTATTTTAGTTTGAACCTTTTCTGTTGGTCCATTATTATGAAATGTTCACACAATGTAAAGGGGAGCTGGTGTTTTCAAATGGTGTAAAAAATAATACCTACATGGAAGAAAAATATATGCACATATATTTACTCATATTAAAAATATTTGTGCAATATATGTACAATATATGTGATGTGTTAAAATATATGTTCCAAATATGTTTACCTGTGCCATTTTTTAATATTTAAATATATGACAATATGTGCACATATGTCAATAAATTGAAATACATGCACCTATGTAGATGTAATTCATGTAATGGTGTCCATTTTAAATATTGACGTATAAGTCAAACATGTATGAAAATTTATTGCAAACCTGACACATCTTTTGAAAAACATATATTTCCTTTGCATATCGGAAAAATTAAAAACCTAAAAAAAAAAGGATGGTACAAGGTTTTGATATGACAGCGACATTTGAGACTTTTACTCTTTATGATTTCCATCTTTTAGTATAAATACAGAAATGTATGTATTTCTTGCCTACAATTCTCCTCAGTTTTTAAGAGATATTTCATCAGATATTAAGGTTGCTGGTATTTGTGTGTTCATTAATGTGGTTCGTTAGGTCCTCTTTCCAGACCCTGACTCTGTGAGGTGTGTTTGCACATTCACATTCCTCTTCTCTCTTTTCCTTTACATTACTGTGCCTAAGAACACAGAGGGTCGGTTTGACTTCCTGTCTCAATCTTTGGCAGTGAAGGGGGGTACACATGGGTAGGTGGGGGGGGTGATGGGGGTTGGGCAGAGCATCCGTATCAATGGCTCTATGGTTGAGGGGGAGGAGCGTGAGTACACCGTCCCCATAGTCCTGGATGGTTAAGAGTGCTCCTAGCTTGCTTTTTGTTTAATGACAGGAAATGACGTCTGTTCAGTAGTTCAGAATTTCCAGAACTTTTTCTTCTTCTCTTCCTGTCTAGCTGCCTTCCTTTTCAGGGGCTAAAAAGAGCGGGAAAATGAGAACAAAAACGGTTTTAGTACAAGGACACACTGCACCAAAAATACCACACTCACTCACCACCCACCAGTGCACTCACTCCCTCGCACACTCACACTGACCTCAACAGACTCATGAAACCCCTGCTCAGAATTCACCAAAGCAAAAAAATAAAACTTAAGAGTGGATCAGTATGTAAAAGAGATAAAAATACAAGGGGCATCATGGCTCATCATTGTATAAATAGTTAACAGCACAAAGCTGCACTAGTGACAATTACATTGTTAGCAATATTACTTTAAAGTTATTGGCATTTAGTTCAACAAGACATTTATAATACTGCTTATAATTATCACTCCACCTTTCATCTTTAATCTTGGATCGCTGTTAGTACAGATTTATTGTGTGACACTGTGTTGCTGCTCCAGAGTAAATTGCTCATTTAACCCCTTATAATCCCAAGTGTATTACATATTAAGGCTTATTACTCAGTAATTACTGGGATTTCAGTGCAAACTGGTTGAGCTATTCTTAAGTTATAGAAATGTAATAAAACTCTGTGGTTAAAAAGAATGTCAGAACAGACTAATGACTTTGGTTTGGTGCTTAATAATAACTACAACACATTTAGATTTTGAATTTTTGTACATATTTGAACTGAATAATCTGACTGACCATTCTATTTGATTGTTTGAACACTTTGAACCAAATATTCTATTTGATTGCTTGAATTAAATATTTGAACCAAACATTCTTTTTGATTGGATGTTTAAACAATTTAAACATTCTAGTTGATCGTTTTTAGGTATTTAAACAGAGCATTTTATTTGATTGAACATTCCACATGGTTGTTTCAACTATTAATAAACATTCTATTTTTGTCCTCAGGCTTCCATTACAGGTCGTGACACTTTTGACTATTTTGGCCTTGTACAATATTATCCTAGCTAGTAAATGCTAGTAAGAACAGTGCTGGTGTAAGTTTCTGGATGAAAGCGTGAAAGCATTACATTTTGTTGTATCCTTTGTATACAAGTGTGTGGCATTCACTTCCTTGGTATGAGCAATGGTTATTGTGTTTCTGGAAGTACACTGCTCTGGCACAATGTGAATTGTCACACACGTCCTATTCTGATCAGTTCACACCAACTAAGACAGGATCCTGAGCGACGTCTGCCTGAGTCACCACATGGGAGCCACCAGAGCTGCTAGAGTCATCAGAGCTCCATCTCTGTTGGCTGATCTGCACCGTTTTGAACACCATGGAGTTTCATGCTGTACAAAGCTGTGCAAACCTCACCTGCATGAACTGACCCTCCTGATGCTGCTGCTGCATAAACTCGAACTATCTAATTAACCATTGCTCCACCTGTTTTTCCCCTTTTTGTATTCTAATATTTTATACTAATGCTGTTTGCTATCCGTTGTCGACCAGAGGAGGATGGGTTCCCCTTTTGAGTCTTGGTTCCTCTCAAGGTTTCTTCCTCTTGCTCTTAGGGAGTTTTTCCTCTTTTCCACTGTCGCCATTGGTTTGTTCAGGGGGGCTTGGACTCGGATTTTTTTTGTAAAGCTGCTTTGTGACAACGCCTGTTGTAAAAAGCACTATATAAATAAACTTTGACTTGACTTGACTTGATTCTTTATACTAGTTAAGCATTCTAATTACAACCTAAATACGCATAATGGATCACGTTCAATATTGTGCTGCATTTGTATACGCTACATGCTTGTAGTGTACTGGAGTGATTGCAACATCATTTGTGTCACGTTGTTTTGTTTGTGTTAGAACCATCAGTAGATTATACTAATGAACAAGGATTAGCAATCAATCAACGAATAGTGAAATTACGGAGATCATGATGCTGTCTTGTTTTTGAGGCTTTCGTTTCTTTGCAGCCCTACAACATAGAAAATCATTCACTGTTATCATGCACATTTCGCATGCATATTGAAAAAGCTGGTATTTGTGGTGCACTTACGAGTATTGGCCCATCCTCCTGACCACCACAACTATCACTGCGATGATGATGACCACAGCTATCAGGGCACCAATCACAATGCCCACCACATGGCCTGTACTCAAGCCTATAAAGAGAGAGAAAGTTTGGAATCCAGTAAGTCATGTTTATGTGTCTGTGTGTTTATTTGTAAAGTGTATTTTCCAAAGGCTACATGTTTCATTTTAACTGAAAGTGCAAAATCTAACTACAGCGTTCAGCTACACTGTGAAGTTTTGTTGATTTTTATAGGTCACAGTAAATCATACTGTGTCCAAAACCACATCAGAGAGTCTGCTCAACATTAATGAAGAACTAGAAGTTGTTTGGGAGAAGTTTTGGTGATGTATTTACGGTGACTATTGACCTCCAGTGTTTGTTAGCAACGTCATCCTTGTAGCTCAAGCACTAAACTAAAGAACCGAAATTTGGGCACCAAGTATGTCTTAGCTGGTCAACTACATCTGGGGTAATTGAGAAATTATGTAAAATATTTTTTGCGCCAAACCATTCCTTAAATACATCTAGGACATATGTATGACCTCATGTATGACAATGTACGAAAACAAATGCACATATTTTTTTCATACCTGAATCTTCCACTTCCACATCTGCCTGTGTTTCAGTCTCTTGCCCAAACTCTGCTTCGGCCTCTGGAGTTGCGTTTTCCTCTACTTTTGCCTCTGTCTCTTCAGCTGCCTCTGTCTCTTCAGCTGCCTCTGTCTTTACAGCTGCCTCTGTCTTTTCAGCTGCCACTGTTTCTGCCACACTTGTTGTCTCATTAGGCACAGGTGCAGCTTCTGTGACAGCAGGTCCCTCTGGCTCTGCAGCTACCGCTGTGGATACGACTGGAGCTTCTGTATCAGTTACTGGTGCTTCTGTTTCTACCACAGCAGCTTCAGTAACAGGTAGTACAGATACTTCAGTGATAACTTCCTCTGGAGCTACTGTTGTGTCCTGCTCCTTTGGTGGCTCTGTAGCATCAATAGCTTTTGCAGCAGTTTCTGTCACACTGGCCAGGTCCTCTGCTGTGGGCACCACCAGAGTACCTGAAAGCAAGGATGACAAATAAACAGTATAAATAATAAGCATTTTAATCCATTAACTGGCAAACTTATTATTCTGTTATTAATCTTTTTGGAGATCAATGTTTGTCTTTGCAATACTGGAGAAGCTTAACAGAAAATCCATTCAGGCTAATGAGTAATTGTGGTGCTTCATTTTGGCCTAAATACATTAATTATTCAATATAGCATTTGGTTAGAGTCACTACATAGCACTGAGTTCCCACTTTAAAATGTTATAACTATGGTGTTGTGGCTAATCAAAGCTAGTCAAGCTGTATGCAACAACTTTTCTATGCTAGCATCAGTTTTTCCCCCGATACTAGCATTAATTGACTTGTATGACTATTAACTATGTTGTATTTTGTGAAAAGTGCATGTGTGCTTCAACGTCCCATTAGGTTAAATGGGACATTGGTCAGTGCTCTATAAAGGTTGCTTAACCTCACAACAGTTGCTACAACAGAATGCATTTCTGGGCGGATAGGTCAATTACACAGCCACAGTTGGCCAGTCATTTCCTGAGGTAGTAGGCATTTTGTAGCCTCAACAAGCAACACAACAACAGGGCGACAAGCAATAAATAGATTCTCAACTTTATCTAAATGAATCATGTTACAGAGAAGTGACAATATTGACAGTGTGGTTACAACAGTGGTCACCAACCCTGCTCCTGGAGATCTACCTTCCTGCAGAGTTTAGTTTCAACCTGCACCTAAAATGCTGCCTCTCTTCTTTTTCTAACAGTCTGCATCTGATTGAGCCAGTCCAGAACCTCTGAAGGTGGTGATTAGCTGGAGCAGATGTGGCAGGTTGAGGCTGGAATTAGACTCTGCAGGAAGGTAGATCCCCAGGACCAGGGTTGGTGACCACCAGCTTACACGATGGTAGTAGATGGTCAACGGCAAACCGGATTGTAATGGAAAATTCAGCCACCGCCAACGGCAATGTTCTGTAGACCACGGTGGTAAGTGCAGCGTTCTATCAAAAGTTCATATTTCCCCACTTTTGTCATCAACTGCATAGGAGACCCATTGGGAACCATCTTGGGAACCATGAACGCCGAACATCTCACTGCTGAAGTCCAGGATCATCCAGTATTATATAACAAAAAGTAAAAAAGCACAGAGCGTCCTCTTGACTTTTTTTTTAAACCTGAAATGAGGAATCAACATGGCTAAAGCTCTTATTGATTTTCACCAGTAACGTTGTCACCATGGCATTGTTTAAATTTCTGTATTCACCACTATGAGTCACGGAATGACGGTATTTTCAATGCCAACATGTAAATGTAGTGTACATGGTAGCATAAATATCCAGCAGACCGTAGGTTTTCATAGTTCCAGCCTTTCATAGTTCCTGTCTTGTTCCAGCTTTTTGTTCCTATTCCCAGTAGTATCACAGAAAAAATGGAAGAGAAGCTTTAAAACTTCTGTCATATTTTTAAACAAACCTGGGATACGCGTATAATAGATATTTTTTACATTTTCGTGTCTGAAGCTGGGCAGTGTACATATCCATGTCATAACACGAACAGCCTCGAACACATTAGCTGCTTGTTGCCTCCTAATGTGAACACAGTCACTCACTGTGTGTTATGAAACTAATTAAGTAGTTAAGAGAGTGACGAATGAGACCCTGGACTCATGTCTTTAGACTTTGAGGCATTTAAAACAAAATGAAACTTTTTAAACATGTCCTTAAAACATGTCCTGTTTCTGTCTGTCTCTATATATGTGTGTACCTCTATCTCTCTCACTCACAAACTTACAGACTTCCTGTTTTGGTTCTGTAGTTTGAGTGGTAGACTGTTGAGTCAATATTTTCTGACGTGATTCGAGTCTCTTGAAACGCTAGTGAGGTCCTCCACATGCCCAGCACACATACGCCACATACGCACACACACATGCTCTCCTATCCACACCTACAAGGCAATGCGTCCCTCCTAAGTCCCTCCCTGACAAGCTCATATCCCGCCTGCGTGACCCCTCATTCCAAACGCGCCACCTCACTTCCTGTAGGTGGAGCTGGTTCGTAAGGTTCCTTGGGAGGAAATAATATGTCTGTCTCATCTGGGAAAATTCTCTCTCTTAAAACCAGAGACGTCTGAAAGTGTTCCTCTCATCAGCATCCTCCAGCAAAACAACTGTTCTCCGAGCAGCTCTCAAGGTCAGCATAAGAAGGCCAGCTGGAGTCCATATGAGTGAGGGAGCCACCCTTTACAATAACATCCCTGACTACTGGTCACTGTGGCCAAACAGGCCAAACTAACATTTAGAATCCTCGCTAATACTTTAGACATTTAATACACTAAACTAATGTTTACGGCCTTACCTTATGATCTAGCATTTAGAGTCTTTCCTATCGAACCAAACTAGCATTTCACTGTCTTTGATAACGCACCAAACTAGCGTTTAAGACAAGTATCTCCAATCCTGCCACTTCCTTTCTGCAGATATGTGTTTGGATGTGTATTCCAAACCTAATCCAGATAATCAATGACCTCAAAAACCTAGAGCAAGCCGTGTTATGTAAAGGAGGACGCTGAATTTGGGACATTCTCGCCACGGTTTGAGAAAGCTGATTTAGAGCTACATAAAGCTTTTAGCTTTTCTGCATGTTCCAGACTAGTGTTGGAAGGAAGTATCAGTGCTAAACTAATGTTTGGGATCCTCACTAACACAGAGACCCTGGCTAATGCTAATAAGTCCTAAAATTAATATTCTACCTCTCGCTAAGACACCAAAACATTTCAAGACTTTACATATCAAGCAAGAGCACCTAAGCTTCTTGTAAAATCAGCGGTGCGTCTTTAAGGTTGAATCAGGTGAATGCTGTAGATTGTGATAGTGGGCTGTAATTGCAGATCATTTTCAGTTAATGTGCCTTTTTTTAGGCCCAGAGAATAGAGTGTGGGCAACTGGATGCACAAAACCGACATTAGACTGAAAATACTGCAGAAGATGATGTCACTCCTTTCTTTTTTCCCGTTATTCAGAAGGGCCTCATTCTGTTGGACCACTGGGACGGAGAGGGCATATGTGCTATATTTATCCCTGCTGGGCCACGCAGGCTACGCAGCACTCTCTGATTATGCTGTGCTGCTACATTTGGTCAAAACCACCATTAGCAATAGACTGGTACAAAAACACACAGACATGCATGGGAGGGGGTGGTCCCAGAGCAAAAGAACTGTGTGTCCTGTTTGTTCATGGTGTGTGTTTGTGTGTGCAAGTAGTGGTGAAAATAATGATGAGAGGATTGTGTGTGTGTGTGTGTGTGTGTGTGTGTGTGTGTGTGTGTGTGTGTGTGTGCAGTCAGTACTCTTTGCCTACCGGGCTCTGTTAACAATTGTCTCATTATACTCTGGACCCCAACAATTATCTCTAAGTATGGTTTCCTTCCCATGAAACAACCTCTACACACACACACACACAGGGCAGTGGCAACGAGTGACGTAAATCTGTCTTCTCATTCTCTCATATATATATATATATATATATATATATATATATATATATATATATATATATATATGTATCTCCACAATGATAACTTTATGGAAAAAAACACTTTACTTTTAATGTAAGTGTAACTTTTTTCAAGTCATTTTGGTCCATTTATCATGAGACTTATGCACGATGTAATGGACAACAAGCATTTTCAAATTAAGTCAAAACCTGAAAAGCTACAAAAATGGAGATGTCTGTCTTTCTGCCTGTCTCTGTCTGTATTTCTCTCTCTCAGAGTTGGTGGGTGTGGCTGTACAGTGGTAGTCTAGTGCAAGAAGGATGCAGCTGTAGTAGTGTCAGCAGCTTTAGCAAGCAGGGAGTGGGAACAGCAGTGCTGCCCCGCTAACAGAACTGAACGTCCCAAAGCCACAAGATATCATCTACCCATGGGCGTGTGTGATTACGAGTGGGTGTGTGTGTGTGTATGTGTGCGTTTGAATGTGTCACTGAAAATCGACGCTGTGATACAAATGAGTAACTATGACCAAGCCTGCAAATTTCCCTAAAAAGCACCATAAAAGGGAAAAGAAGGACAGAAGAGAGAGAGAGTGAGAGAGGGTGAAAGAGAGAGAGAGAGTGAGAGAGGGTGAAAGAGAGAGAGAGAGAGAGAGAGAGAGAGAGAAACAAAGAAAAGAGGGCAGAGAGGGAGAAAGAGAGGCAGAGAAAGAAAGAAGGCATGGATAGAAAGACATAGAGAGAGAAAGAAAAGGAGTAGAGAGAGTAAGAGAGGGGGCAGAGAAATAGATAAAGACAGAAACAAAGAAAGAAGGACTGAGAGGGAGAACAAGAGAGATGAAGGGAGAGAAAGAAAGAAAGAGAGAGAACCCATCCTTAGACAGAGGCAGAGAAAGGAAGAGGCAGAGAAAGAAAGGAAAGGGAAGAGTGATAGAGAGGAAGAGATAGAGAGAGAAACAATGGAAAAAAGAAATATAAAGAGAAAGACAAAGAAAGGAAGAGAGAGAGAGAGAGAGAGAGAGGGAGAGGGAGAGAAACAGAGAGAGGGAGAGAGATAAAGAGGGAGACAAAGAAAGGAAGAGCGAGAGAGAGAGTCGCACTCATACCTATTAGCATCACGATTAGCTGCCACTGCAAATTGTTTGTGTGTGCTGGGGGGAGTGGCCGTTTAGAATTTTGTCTTTCAATCAGAGTTCAGTGTGTGTGTGTGTTTGCGTGTGTGTGTTTGTGTGTGTGTGTGTGTGTGTGTGTGTGAGGGAGTGTGAAACTGGAATGTTTTTGTGCTTTTTGTGCTGGGGAGGGACACACTCATAAAACCTCACTCACTCCCCTTCACACACACGCACACACACACACACACACACACACACACACACACACAGAGTCTTGCGTGTGGTGGAGCAGGCAGTGAAAGGATGACAGAATGGATGGAAAATCCTTCTTATCTGTGCACATGCATGCACTCCTCCTTAATGTGCAGATAGAGAACAGGCAACAGCTACAGCCCACATATCACCTGCAATATATACACACACTTACAGAGTAACAAGTTCAGTACTGAGGATCTCTCCTTTACCAGCAAAACAAACAAAATTTAGAAGGTGTTGTGTTGTTCATAGACTCAAAAATAAATCATTGTAGGAATATGTTCAGTTATGCCACACATTCCCATTCAATCAAATCAGTCGGTAAAAACTGACTTTGTTACCTCAGCGTAAAGTTCAGTTGAAACATTTCAGTGCAGTTTCACTTAAATGGAATTCTCCAACATTTCTACCTTAAATTTTGAAACTCCTAAACATGAGGTTTCTTTGAACAGTGCCATAGAAGAACCACTTTCAATTCTCTACTAAACATGTTTGAAAGATATTTGTGTCTTTTGTGTGAGTGAAAAAAAGGTTCTGAGGGTATCATATGATAAAGTTCTACACCAGTTAAAATCACAGTCACACTAGACATTTCAGTTGTTGCCTTGCGGGATGGGCGTGACCAAGGCTGGTTAGTTACACAATGAAATCCTCCATTTTGGTGCAGTTAGCAAGAATTATTATCAGATAGTTATATACTCATGACATTATAGTGCTGCACTAATATATAGCAACATTATAAAGATGATAAGATGGCGTCAGTGGGATGACTTGTGTGCAGATGCAGTCAGCCAAGGAGCTAACACTGCAGGTAGCAAGTTGGCTAACTCGCCTACCACAAACAGTAAAATCACAAAAGTAAACATAGTAATACAGACTCCTGATGAAGACTTTCATTCTTAGGACACAGATTCACATGTCACTCAAACTCACTGCAAATTTTCGCACATGAAATTTACTTGTCCCAGAAGTCTGCAATGCAAAATCACTCACTGCACCAATATACTATATGAGTTTCACTAAATTTCATTGACATACTCTAGTATGACTGGGCCTTGAGTGTTTATTCCTAAAACCTTTACATTATATGGAGGTTCTTTAACCTTTTAAAATGGCTCTTTACATTCACTAGTCATTTACAAAGCTGATTCTCCAAAGAACCATCCACCAGTGAACCAAAGGTGGCTCTTCTATTCATAATGCAAAGATCTTTAATTTAAAGAGTCTAGGCTATTACATACAGTATGCAAAAGTTTGGACACCCTTTATCAAATAACACATTTTGTTATCTGAAGAACCATTTCACCATGCAAAGAACCCTTTAAGCATGTGAATGGTTCTTTGAGTGTTCATGGTTCTATATAGGACCATTGTCTTTACTGAAGAACCCTTGAAAAACCATATTTTTTAAGAGTGTAGAAGTAGGAGAGAAGGAAGGAATGGAATAGTACATGCCAAATACAAATACTTGGCGAGAGAGAGAGAGAGAGAGAGAGAGAGAGAGAGAGAGAGAGAGCATTAGTGAAGCTCTGTCTCGTCTAGACTGAAGAGATCAACATCAGCACTGCTTTCTGAAAGTAAAGCACAGAACAGAACAGCTAAGGAAGTCTTCAAGCTGAACTCCATTACCTTCAGTATAGCTAACAGCTCTTGGCAGCTAGCGCAACACACGCGCACACACACACACACACACACACACACACACACACACACACACTCACTAATGTCCTCTAGTACCCTAAGAGTCAGTGTGTGCTTTGGAAGCTACATGTCATCATACCTGTTATAGCAAAATCTCATATTTCTGAAATGGTAACTAAAAGGAAAAAGAAAAAAATAAATAACCCTTAGATACATTTAGCTTTTATTCCAAGTATTTCTAGAACTTTTCTATTGGTCCATTCATTATGAAATGGTCAAACAATGTAAAGAGCTTCCAGTGGTTTCAAAAACAGACTGACAAGGTGTTGATGTCTTCCAGCAATACATAGTTTATAGCAAATATCTGTAAACACTGTACAGCTAAACAGATTTAGCTACATATTCAGTACTGAATTATTGTTATTAGCAGTCATTATTGCTGTGACTAGGCATATAAATATTCATGTGGAATCTGTTCTGTGGTCCAAACAACAAAATTCCACACATATTGAGATGGTACATTTATTCCTTTCGAATGAACTTCAGTGCTCCTCCTTTAAAGTCATTATATACACTCACATACATTTGTATGCAAAAGCTTGGGTGCCCCTGTTTAAATGACATGTTTTGTTGCGTTCACATCCTCATTTAAATTCATAATTACTCTTTATTTGCTGATTTTAACAGATTAGGGGAAAATAAATAAATAAATAAATAAAATCTTGCATGTGCAAAAGTTATAGCACATTTTATATTCTATGTTTTTTTCCCAATATGCTTAGCAAATAAATTGACTTTGTGAAGTATAATGTGCAGAAAAATGGCATATTTAAAGCTACTTCCTGTAAAGGGTGTGTTAACTTGTTTCCACTTCAACAAAACATGTCATTCAAACGGGCACCCAAGATTTTGCATACAATGGTATATTCACACCTACTATATAGCCATTACTGATAAGATTATTAGTGTGATACAGTGTAATATATTAGTATTAGTCTGTATTAGTATAATGATAATGAGAAAAAAATGTTTATTGTCTTGGCTTTGTGGAGTTTGTAAGACGTTTGATATTGTATCTCTAAAGGTGGCAATTTAAAAATAACCCCCTCACCCCCAACACATAAGCCTACACACAAGCCCCCATGGGGGTGAAAGTTTGATACCCTGCCAAAGATGGCTACATGTAAGAGCGGACAGAGCAAAGAGAGAGAGTGAGAGAGAGAGAGAGAGAGAGGGGTACACGCCCTGCATGGGCATAATTTGAGTCTCTTTCTCTCTCTCTTTCTCTCTCTCTCTCTCTCTCTCTCTCTCTCTCTCTCTCTCTCTTCCCCCATTGCTCCAGACAAGAAGTCTGACCAGCCTGTTCCCTGCACACCAAATGCTATTCTTAAATATAGGGCCAGCTCTATTAATATGCACACACAACCCTGCCCAGTGAGCTGGAGAGACAGAGAGAGAGAAATCTTCCTGTAAAAACCGAGCCAAGACACATACCACCATTACATCATATTCTTATAAGTGGGCCCAAAAACTAAGAGAGAGAGATGAACGCTCTAATGCCTGAGGTAATAACAGAGTCTGTTAGATCATAGTTTTCTCAGTTCAACCAAGTTTAAAGTCAGAGATTTTTGTTACTATGTCATGGATTAAAAAGTAACTATATAAAGAAAAAAAAGTTTGGGAAAAGTAAAATGTTCCGAAAAAAAAAGAAAAAAAATCAACCACTTAAAAAGTTCCCTCATTAGGAAACTGCCATTCTAAGGGTCTGAGCAAGCCATCATCCCACCATTTAGGAAAGGGAGGGGGAGCGAGCCAATAGAAAAGACTGAGCAAAAGAATGAAAAGAAGAAAGTAAAGCTGCAGAGGCTCCTTATTCCCAAATCTCACAGACAAAACGTTAGAGAAGGAGAAGAAAAAGAAGAGGAAGGAATAAAGGTTCCATCTGAGTACTGAGGTCAAGTTTGGAGTGGAATAAAAGTCTGAGGCATTGAGAAGCAGTCTGAAAGCAAGGCTGTGTGAGTGCAGGCAGGATGAATGAAAGAGTCAGAGAGAGTCAGAGAGAGAGAGAGAGAGAGAGAGAGAGAAGGATGAAAGAGTGAAATTACAAAACAAATTCAAATTTCAAGAGTGTAGTGTGTGTGTATTGCCTTACTTGCGTGTGTGATGGCACAGAAAGGCCCAACCAGGGCAAACAGCAGCAGCAGCTCAAACTTCATGATGTCTTCAGTCGTCTGAATGGAAGTGAATGGAACAAAAGTGCGGGGCTCCTCCACACAGCTGGAGTCGGTCTAATAGGTTCAGTCTACTACTCACACCCCGGCAGAACGGAGAGAGGCGTCGAACCAGCAGCAGCACACACAACTCTGTGAGACGCTGCAAAAGAAAGCTCAAGAGAGGGACAGAGTGTGTGTGTTTAGAGGAGGGAAAAGGGGGGTTGGGCACACGTGTTAGGTGGTCCTGCCCCTTGTGCCTTCCTTAACTCAGTAAGTAAGTGAGTCTCTCTCTGTATCTCTCTCTCTCTCTCTCTCTCTCTCTCTCTCTCTCTCTCTCTCTCTCTCTCTGTCTCAGTATTAGCTCAGAGCACATTGAGCTGAGTAACCAGGGCTGACTAACAAGTGGCAAAGCTAGATTAACTTTTAACAAACAAACAAATACTTTTTGGTAACAGAGCTAAACGTACATACAATACAATGGTAAAAAAGTGACCAGGCTCTCCTGCTCATTGAAATAAGACTTATAAAGTGCTAAATCCAAAAAAAAACAAGACTTTAAGATAGAAGAAAGTTGGACTTGAAGAATAATTGAGTATCTATTAAGCTCACAAAGCTGTGCACACACATGCTCCTAGCATCTGAACTTAAATTAATCAAGCACTGTCCATATTTCTTCTATCTTTTTAAAACCAGCCAATAACAAAGATAAAAATGATAAAGTTAAGTAAAATCATCTTAAATTTTTCAAATATGTTGAAAATTTCTGATTCTAAAATATAGAATCATAGAAGCCTATACAACCAATTTCAGGACAGTTTTGCTTGTTTATCTTATTCCACTGACAGCTAATTTTACTAGACAAAAAAAATGACTGAAAAGAAGTAGAAATCCTCAGCATTTAAGATGATCTCACTTGCCAAGATGGTATTTCTTGCAATGAACCCTTTTCCAATGAATCATATGTTTTTGAAGCACAGAATCTGAACCACAAGAACGGAGACAGGGTAAACAGACAAAACGCTGCATGTTAAAGCACTTTTGCCAAAAGAATATGTCATTAAGTGCAGGGAGTTGCGTGTGTGTAGTTTTTGAGCTGGTGTGAGCGATTTGTAACAGAGCAGCATAAAAGGAACAACAGTGCCATCTACAGACCACCTGCTGTGAAATGAATCCATTTTACACAAATAGATTGTACACAAGTAGATAAGCTCCGAAGAGGAACTGTAATATATGCATACACCTCAAATTTAAATCCAATACAGTGCGAATTAATGTGGGTCTTACAGAGCAGTGGCATCGAAAGATGCTGTTAATACGTTTTTTAATGTAGCTTTTGAAAAACCAAGTTACCTTTTCAAGCAGAACTAAAGGTGATAATTCACAGTGTGGCAAAAACACTGCTGCAAGCAACAGATTAAAAAAGAAAGTAGCAGTCTCACTAAAGCACAGGCAGTACACAGCAGATGCCATATTTCGTTTTGATTGTTTTGCTGTCACCCTGCAATGCTGTTTTCTGGTGGAAGAAGCTCTTTTACAGCAGCGAATGTTGGAATAGGAATGCTGTAACATCCATTAGGATATGAGTGTGTATCTGTGCAGTATGTGTCTATATCTTTGTAGGCTGCCAGAAGGTTTTTAGATGTGAGAATGGCTATTGTGTCTCACGGGGAGCGCGTACACACACAAAAGCCCATTAGTCACAGCATGACACCACAGCTCAGTGCTAGTGTTATTCAGATGAAGTGTTCATGGGCCATCACCTCATTTCCTCATTCACCCAGAACCATTTAAATCCATCAGACAGACAGATGGAGAGGGGGAGGCAGAGAATGGCTTTGTGACGGGATCCTTTTTAGATCACACGCAAACTAAACGTAGTTTCTGACTATTCTGTTTAAAAATAATACATATGTGTCATTGTACAAATTGGTTTAAACCTACAGTAAAAAATTATTTACAAAACAATTCAGTATTCAGACCTTAAGAGAAAGTAAGCTAACTACATTAAAACATCATCATTTATAGGGTACTTTCTGTTGGAAAGTGGCTGCCCCAATCCCTAACCCCTAAATTCAGACTTGTGAAAATAATACTTAATTCTGTACTTTTAATTTTTAAAGATCCTTTTGATTTCTTTTAAGGTGGAGCTAAAGGTTTAGATTTATCATGAGTTTAACTTTTAAATACAAAAGCTTGTTTTGGTCCATAGGTGGAGCATTATTTTAGCTACACCCCTGCATTTTAGAGCAGGAAGTGAGACTGCATCCCTGTCCCTCATGGCCACATGGTCATCAGTTAGATCCCATTGTTTTAGGTCCAAAGTGGTTTGAGGTGGAGGTTAGTTGAAAGTTTGTATCAGATCAATGGATATTAGTCTTTTTTTTAAGTTGTTGTAAATTATTATAACTGTAAAGTGTAATGAATTAAATAATGATTCTAGGGATATGATTCAGATATGATTTGTATACTGATATGGAATAATTTTAAGTAGTTATTAATTATTCAGTGATAGTTCTATCAAATTTAGCTTTAGTTTCCTGATGTTGTTTTGAAATATACTAATTGTGCTGTCTGTCAGTATTTAATTCTGTATACAAGCATAAAATTCAGATTTTTAACTCCCACAATTATGTTATGGGCAGCCAGTTATCTTTTAGCATGTTTCAGTTCTCAGTTTATCGACCAGTGATGTAATTCAGCATCCAACAGCATTTTAGTCAAATATTATGTTACCCATTGTTTTTTTTTGCATTATCCCTTCTGAGCTACATCACTAGGCTTTTGAACCACTGTGTACAACAGTGATCTCCTGCTTTGATTTATAACTTCTTTCTGTTACTTTTTAATTTTTGGCTTTGTGAAAATAATAAATCCTTTTCTTCCATTTTATAACTCTGGTCGGCAATTATTGGAGAAATGAGACCTCTTGATTAAATTCTTGCACCAGTTCTGAAGTAAATATGACACATAAGAACTTGAAAATGGCACTTTCTGCCAATTTTTGTGCACAATTTCTATTAATTTGTTGAGTTTAACAAACTGGGGAACAAACAAGCAAACAAACTATATATATCCAGTCATCATGAAATTTACCCACAATGTAAAGGAAAACAGGCCTTTTCAAATTATGTCAAAACTGAAAAATGTTTTGCCCCCCGACAGCAGCGACATATATATGTAAAATGTGCCATAACTTTTGCACACATTTTATGTTATTTATTTTTTCCCTAATATGCTAAATTCAGCAAACAGTTTGCATTAAATGTGCAGAATGTGTTCTCTGTAGAGGATGTGAAAGTTAACTTATTTTCACTTTAAAAATCAACAGCACGTGTCATTTGACCAGGGGCGCCCAAACTTTTGCACATGACTGAATTATCACTTAACTAAACTTGTGTCTCTTGGATGTGTGAAAGAGACAGAGAAAGAGTTAACAAGTGAGATAACACTTAATCCACACATCCAACCAAGACATCAGCTAAGAGCTACACTCTCGGTAACTCAGTATCTAAGTGTATGAGCTTTGTGTTGTGTTAATGCTCTACATAGTTGACCTCGTAAAAATATTGTCTTTGTTGTTTATTAGTATTTATTTTTATTTATTTAGTGATGTTAAGATTTCCACTAGACTCAGTTAATTCAGCAGATCCTTATAAGCACACACACATATATATAAATAAACACTATATGGACAAAAGTATTGGGACACCCCTCCTAATTCTTGAGTTCAGTTTGGGGAAGGTCCTTTTCTGTTCCAGCATGACTGAGCCCCAGTGCACAAAGCAAGGTCCATAAAGGCATGGCTGGGTAAATTTGGTGTGGAACAGCCTGACTGGCCCACACAGAACCCTGACCTCAACCCCATCAAACACCTTTTGGGTGGGATGGAATGAAAATTGTGAGCCAGGCCCTCTTGTCCAATGTCAGTGTCTGACCTCACAAATGCTCTTCTAGATAAATAAACACTCCAAAATTCTGCAGAAAGTCCCAGCAATGCAGCAATGCTCCTGATTATTTGTAATCATACACAGTTTTTACTGTATACACATACACACACACAAAACTGCTGGAGTTTTTAAACACCTCAGTGTCACTGCTGGACTGGGAATAGTCCACCAACCAAAAATATCCAGCCAACAGCGTCCTGTGGGCAGTGCCCTGTGACCACTGATGAAGGACTAGAGGATGACCAACACAAACTGTGCAGCAGCAGATGAGCTATCGTCTCTGACTTTACATCTACAAGGTGGACTGACAAGGTAGAAGTGTCTAGAGTGGACAGTGAGTGTTTAAAAACTCCAGCAGCTCTGCTGTATCTGATCCACTCGTACCAGCACAACACACACTAACACACCACCACCACGTCAGTGTTACTGCAGTGCTGAGAATGATCAACCACCCAAATAGTACCTGCTCTGTGAGGGTCCATGGGGGTCCTGACCACTGAAGAACAGGGTAAAAGGGGGCTAACAGTATATAGAGAAACAGATGGACTACAGTCTGTAACTGTAGAACTACAAAGTGCACCTATATGGTAAGTGGAGCTGATAAAATGGACAATGAGCGTAGAAACAAGGAGGTGGTCATGATGTTTTTCCTGATCGGTGTATATGTGTGTGTGTGTGTGTGTGTGTGTGTGTGTGTGTGTGTGCGCGTGCAAAGCTGTGTGCGATTACAGATGATCAGGCACATTGCTGCATTGCTGGGATGCACACACCCTTGTGCTGTCTCTCTGAGGCTGCAGTATTGCGAGAAGTGTGGATGGCTTGTGTCAGCCCACTCGTTTGCCTCACTGCGTTATTCTCGTTTCTCCTGCGGGCTTCAGCAACAGCTGGCCACAAACACTCTCTCTAACTGCAGTTCAGATTCTAGCAATGTAGACGCTGCCACCAGAATTCTGAGTGTGTCTGCATGTGGCCTGCAGCAGAGTTTATCACAGAGATAGCTCTGCCTGCTCACTGGAATATTTGGCCAGAGTAGTACGCAGTGGTGGCTGGGCATATTACTGAATGGGAAGTCTAAAAAAACACCCATCAATAGCTCTTCCAGCAGCATCACATTGGAGAACATATCTCAAGCTGCAGCAAAAATTAAATGAGCTGTCTAGATAGGTACTGGTTTCAGATGTTTAAATGGTGATGTGTACCATTAGCTGATGACTATAGCAAGCTAAAAGAAAATTACACTATATTTCACTGCAGCATTGCACTTTTTGTCAACTTA